ATTAAGTTAGTTTGTTGATGATCTTTGGAGAAATATGGGTTCAAGAGTAAATGAATCCTTCATTTAAGACAATTTGGGAGATTGGGAGAGAAAGAGAGAAAGGGAGAGAGGGAGTGGTGTTTGAATTTTTTTGAATGAAAAGAAGCGGAATGATGACGGCTACTATTTCCAATTGTTTTTTTATTAAGTTAAGAGCTAAAGGTCCCACACGACAAAAAGGAGGCAATTTTTCTAGTATATCATCAATAGACAAAAGTCCAAAAGAAGATAGAATTATCAAAGTATTATTCTTCATTTTGTCACAAGAGCATCAAGATCCAAGATTTGGATTTGAATTCAACCATCTCATTTACCCCCAATCAACCCTACATGTGTGAGAAAGAGGGTTGATTTCATTTCACCTTACACGGGACTTTCAAATTTAACCGTTGGATCAACACACATCTGTGTGGGTACGTATGTGCATTGATTCAATGGTGAAAAACTCGATGATTACATATATGTGTATTGATCAAAGGGTGAAAAATTCAGTGACTTCAATCACCGGTAGGATTGTAAGATCCGAAAGTGAGAGGTAGGGAAACAAAAAACTGCACATTAGGAGTTTAGAAAAGAAAAATCAGTCAAGATACAATTTGCTTTTCACAAATTCTGTATGGAGTCTAAAGCGTGTAATATATAGTGTACATTCAGTCCCAATGTAAAAGGAACCACGAGTAAAAGGAAAAAAGAAAAGCATACTACTCACTCAGCAGCACAAAGAACAAAAATTATTGTGCAAAACACAAGATTTTACACAAACACACACACACACACACACACACACATATAGATAAAGAGCCTGGTTATCCCTCACAAAACTTGTTTGAACTACTATAAATAATCCATGGGCAACTCCCAATTATCTGGGTTCCTTCTAATCTTTGAGCCGCGTCTTTTGCTTGTCGATTTCTTTCTTTGCTTTTCGGTGTAATAATTTACATGTTGATCAAACTTGTTGTTTGAGATGCCTGCATTCTGGCCATTCCATATACCCTATATACAACATAAAAGAATAATATAAGTGGCGTACAATATTGATACATGATATGAGTGATGAAGAAAACACCTTAGTCAGCCTGTGTACTCGTGATAAAGCAGCAGTTTCGTGTACAAAAACCGTGTCACTAGAAACTTTCACTACGTCTTCCACGAATACAGCATATGTGCTTACCTATGAAATAAAAAAAACATCGTCAATTATCGAGATATAAAGGTACAGTCTTTGTGAAATAATGGGCAATAGGGCCTACCAAACTTGATGGGATGATGGAGATTCCAAATGAATCGAGCTCAAGGGACTCAACTCTGCCCGAGTTGATACTAAAACTGTAGCCGCGCACCTAAAAATCAATCAACACAGGATAATTGTCAAGTATCGACAAAAGGTAAAGGTCGTGGGAGGCAGATAGAACAATATGGTGTGTACCTTGCCAATACGTTGACCATTTGTGGTTACCACGCTGTATCCTACCTGTCAAACGTCATTTATTAGGATGGTCAGTGAAAATTAATCTCCAGAAAAAAGATAAATGCACAAAGGAGTCAGTCTGTTTCACATGCCCTATGATTTCAACATGTAAACTGAAAATTTATGGAGATCATCAACCTGTTGGCGGCAAATTTTCCGTTGTAATTCGGTATTTTCAAACGATTTTCTCAAAAAATAATGGTAGCATGAAGAAGAACAAACTGAGATTGGAGAAGTTATGGCAGTTACTAACTTTCCTCTCTCTTTCTATAGAAATCTCTTCAGGTATTATCAATGCATTACCAGTAGCTTATTCAACATATCAACTTAACCTGATTAAAACTGGAAAGCACTTAGTGCCAGAAAACAGGTTGATGAAAAAATATGCAGTACCCATAGGAAGCAACAGCACATACCAATGTCTCTAACCCAACAGATTTTATATCAACTTCAATCACATTCTCTTCCTCAACAAAAATAACATCCCCCACCTCTCAGAAGAACATTCACAGTTGAGAAAAACAGCATACAGAAGAACATTCACAGTTCAGATGTATCAAACATCAGATACGCACAAGATAGTCCAAATCATATTGAAATCTATTGAAGAGTTTTTTACATGTCGGATCTCCTTGAAAAGAAACCTCTCAAATGCACCTGATAGTAAGTTTGGCTTCACTTCCACAGCCATCACGACCCACTGGTATATAGAAAACGAAATGGCCTTTAGAGCTGAAAGCCATGAACTCCACTTTCTAGGTGCAAATGGTTGACGACAACAAAGCCCAGCCCTGGAATCAAAAGACCTCACAATATCTTTCGAAAAAATACGAACTTCCAAAACCCATTACTAGACGTAGACTTTTCACATCCGAATTCGGCTGTTTTGACATATAAGCGCCACAACCTTAAAGTAACACAAAAACTGTGTTATCAAAATTGCAGAACCAAACTGCACCTCACCGTTACCAAACGAGTCATGCAAAAGTTTCTGTAGCTCCTTTCTAAAAGCCTAAGAAAAGCAAGAAAGAGAGGAAATAACAAGAGAACCCCATTGATTTTTCCATGTCCAAAAGAACAAATAGACGATGGGATTGGTGACTTACTGAACTTGTGTGCACCCAAAGCTGTGAGACAAAACCTAAACTGAGAGCTGATCGAATGCTGATAACTTGCTTAGCCATAACATTTGATCTCCCCATCATTTGTCTCCTGCTGCTCGTACTCAACTCCCCTCGCCCGCCATGGCCGCCTCTCTCCATCTCCTTTTCTGCAGAGCTATCAATTTCACTCAATTTGTTCGCTTTCTTTTGTACCCTAAAATTGAAAACCTCGCCATCGCTCAAACCCTCTGTTTCTTCACGAATTCCACTTTCTACGGGCGGTCTCGCCATTTCTAGTGCACTTTCCCCATTTTGATCTCTGCTGAGTCGAATATCACGGACACACCCTTTCTCCATGAGCCCAGAAGCTGGGGACTCTTCATATTCACGTTCGTCCCATGGGAATGCGATCGCGAGCCTATTTGGTACAGAGTTTATACTGAACGAAGCCCTTTCAAGACTAGATTCGGGAACTGAACGTTTCGCGGGCTTGCCCAATTTGGAACAAGTGATATATCGAAATTTATGTGTTTGTAATGAAAATTGAAGAGAGCGATTGACGGTAGGAAGGCAATCGTACATGTCGCGAATTGGGTTGTTGCGAAAGACACGATGGGATTGCTGAGAAATTGTTGTGAGACGAAAAGGAAAAAATTAAGTGCCTTCTACAGGCCAAAATGGGACTCACTGATCTCAACTCATGGCTTATTATCTCCCTCCCTCAGCTAACATTTCATCAAGAATCCAATAAATGTAGGATATCCAGCTAATCCAAGATCTTATTGCCATATTTCCTTGTTAAAAGAAAAATATAATAAGTTCATCTTTCAGAATGATACATACATTACTGATACACATTCCTCAGGACACTTTGACACAAAGCACAATTAATTCCATCAAAGCTCATCATCATACACCGAGTTTTCAAAGGCATGCTTTTTCTTGCAGGCCCATCGGCATCTCCGAGAACAAACGGAATTGAAGATACTCAACCTTTTGGACTGAACAGATATGATATTTGATGTTGAAGGTGACTTTGAAAGAACAATGGCATATCCATCGTCCATGTACTCTGTGCCCTCGGGAAAAACCTGCCATAACAGGCTACCTCCTCCACCGCCTCCTTTCTTGGTAGAATTCAAAAGGGTATTGTACACTGTGCTTATGAGGTTATCCCGGTAAGTCAAATTGTAACCGGGGTCTTTTCTAGAGACGCCAAACTCTGAAAAAACTACCGGCATGTCCAGAAATGTCTCGGCATCATCAATGTGAGCTTGCATCCATGATTTTGTGAATTCAATATGCGCTTTCGTAATTGATTGAGATATCCTGTAGAGAAAGAAGTGGCTCAATTTGCAAACGTTGTCATATGTGTGGGGATCGATCGAAGCTTTTTTTTTTTTTTATATATATATATAGGTACTTTACCAAGAATCTGGATAGATGTGAACAGAAGCAAAATCAACCCCAAGAACTTGATGGTTGCGGATGAAGTCAGTCCCAACTTGCTGAGCGTAAGTATTTGGGTTGTATTGAACTTTATTAGGAGTCGAAAGTCCATAGAAGCCTTCGAGCCCAATCTCCACCAAATGCTTGGGATCAATGCTTTTCACATACACTGCCATTTCTTCTATCCAACCCTGCAAATTTTTATCAACACTCAGCACAAAATATAAGTGACAAAAACTTCAAATTTATCAAGGCTTGTGCATGCAACCAACCTGCAACTTATTTCCAGAGGGATCTGATTCACACCGCGGCTCGTTCATTAGTTCCCATGCGAAAATGGTTGGGTCTTCTTTATAGGTTATGTTCGTTATAGTATTAACTCTGTTTAGCACCGTCTGCACGTAGGGAGAGTTGTCAAATAAGGCTAGATATGTTTTTTTTACAAACATTTTCAAATGGGAGAGAAAATGTGATGACTTGCATGAACATGATTCTTGTAATACGTCTTAATAGTCGGGTGAGAAAAGAAGTCATCATCAGACGTCAAGTTGAGTCCGGCATCATTTCCCCATTTCACGTACTGTTTTTTCCCGCCGTACGCTTCCCAGTTGTTGACTAGGGACAACATAAGCCTTATTTTGTACTTTTTTGCTTCACTTATGACAAAATCCAGGCCCTGGGAGAAAAGCAATCAAGCGGTTATTATGTAGACTTGTTTTTGTACTTTATTGAACAAAAAGTTACCTTAAAAACTTGTTCGTCGTAAACAGAAGGAGATTTCTGAAGGGCCCGCCACTGGCCATCATTGAAAGCCCAAGTCCTGCAAACAGAGAGCCCCACAGCAGAAGCCTGTTGAAAAACTTCGCTCACCTTCACTCGTGTCGACTCATCCACCGAAAGAACCATCAGCCAGTAAGTGTTGAACCCGTTCAAATAAAACGGATGCCCATCTACCATGAATTGGGTCCCACTTCTCTGCACCATGGACCATGGATCTTCTTCCAGCTCATCATTGCCATAAATCCTGATCACAAACNAAAAAAAATAAAATCTATCTATATATATGTGTGTGTACCTTGTAATTTCCTCGGACTCAAAGCAGGAAGCACGGTGGAGAAGCATTGCAAGAATGAATAATGTTGAGTAAACAATGGCTTTAAGCTCGTAATGTACTTCCATATCTTAAATGTTTATGAATTGATCTTGATAGACCATTTGTGCAAATATATAAGAGCTTGAGGCCAATTGTGTACAATCATGAAGCTACCTAGGCCAGGAGACAAGCTCTGATAAGCATAAGAGTAGATGGTGGAGCTCCCTTCAAAGCAAAGAAGCTCTTTCTTCTCTTTTAATTATGGATATACACACACAACTTATACAGATTTGGTGGGACTGCCATTTTTTTTCCCCTTCTTCCTATTTCTTATCTTAGACACTTGTTTACCGTGTAAACTTACAAGTTGTTTACTGTAAGGTAAAACTCCTGCAGATTTATTGGAACAACACATTATCTAATTAAAACAGTTTGTATTATCTTTCCCTAGCCTGATATATGGATACACACACACACACACATACACACACACACACACACACACACACACACATATATATATATATATATATATATATATCTTCTTTGGTTATGAAGAGGTGGTACTGATGCATTAGTTCTTGGATGGATTTCAACATAAATACAAAGCTTTGATGGGTTTAATTTGATGAGACTTGGAGAGTTGAGTAGATAAGGGAACTATAGTTAAATATAATATAATCATGTTTGTTGTAACAGAAAAACACACACCTACAGATTAATAAGGTGAAAATTTATGTGGCAAATTACTTTGGGCATACAAAAAACAAAGGCATGCTAAAATAAGTTGAGTTTTATGATACACACAAAATGTAAAGCCACCATAGACGTTTGACACAAAAAATTGGAATTTCAATATTCCCCAATCAGCTCCAAAATTTCTGTCATCTCAAAACAACGTTCACTGTTAAATAAACCCAATAGTCAGTTCACTTCTGACGGTCCCATAGCTGGCCTGGAAAAAACATTAACATACAGATAGAAAAATATACATATGGACTCCGAATTATTTTACACAAGCATTATGCAGTTTGAGGGCTTTCTTCAAAACACAAAACACCCACACAATGATCAGTCATTTGTTCCCCTTTTACACTATGTCGGGCAAGGGTTCTCTGAATCTAGAATGGCATCCATCTTCTTCTGCAGTTCAGGCTTGTTTGCACCAACAAGTTTTTCGAGTTGCTGCCCGTTTTTAAGGAAGAAGAAGGTTGGGGTTGCCTTGATATCCAACGATGTACTAAAATCCTGCATAGTGAAGAATAATAAACTCATGTATATGCCTCTGCTATTAAAAGAGCTCAGGTTACACACTTTTCCAACTTTTTTTAAAGAAAAAAAAAGGGACAGCTGTCAGCACGACACATCATCTTACAGTAAGTTCATCGACATCAACTGTCAAAAACATAAGCGAAGGGTGTTTTTCAGAGAGCTCGGCGAAGAAAGGCGCAATCATTCGACAAGGGCCACACCATGCAGCACTAAAATTGGCAACTACCTGTCATGGATCATCCAATGTTAGAAAGCACAATAAAAAGCTTCCATCTTAGGTTCAGTAAGCATAAGTAGACCAGAGTTGTCTTGGACGGTTTAATCCACGATTAATAATAATGTGGCCCATCTCCAATACTCTTTCCACACATGAAAATACACGATGCTTCCCCACAATTATGTGGATAAGGTGATTCTGGCATTAAACGTGTTGCAAGTGAACTTTGGAATACTTGACAGTAAGAGTACCATTCAACAATTATGATGGGCAATATTTTTAGAAACAGTATGCTATAGTTGAAGACTACCTATCAAACCTAGCTCCAAATTTTTTGTTCATTTTCTTCCTAGGAATTATGTGTGAAAGAAACATTTTTGAAGTTTGTACGTTGTGTCTGAGAAAAAAGAAGAATCCAACAAACTTAGGAAGTGGAAACTTAAGTGTCCCATTTCTTCTACCCCATTCTTACTGATTTAGTGTGATGTGGACCATTCTTCAGATCTATTTCAAGTGTACAGTTTAGTACATCCCTAAAGAAAGTAATGAACAATAGATAATGGATAAAGTGTGCTATTTATCCATAATCAATGCGACTAAAAGCAACAACTCTTTCCAAGTTCCACTGCTAAAAACTTCAGCTAGAGTTACAAATCATATAATCTCCAAGAATACATAAAACTAAATGGAAAAATTAAACAAAATAAATTGATTTGGTAGAGGAGGATCGAGAAAAGATGTGAAAAAAGTGCACTTAATTATCATTATACAATCTGCAGCATTTTGATCCTTTAATAAACCTCATTTTCCGGAAGTATCAATTACTTGTGGATACCTCACAGTTACAATAGCGATTTGACTATCTGACAGCTAGTAGTCTAGGACTAAGAAGTACACCTAGCAGAGCCAGAATATTTCATCTGTTGAACTCTAGTGCGGAAGTACCTTTAGAAAATATAGCAGAATATACAATTCTAAAATTGGTGGATAAACAACTCACCTCAGCTATTCTGTGTGTGTGTGTGTGTGTGTGTTTGCGCTCAGGCAAAATTATAATCATGTTGATGAATGACATAATCTCAGGCCAAATACCAACAAATGAATATGTAGTCCTGACATCACCACAAATAAGATTTTGCAACTGAATTCTAAAGATTACACTGGCAAGATGAATGCTTACTATCTTTCCATCTTTTTGTGCTTCAGCCAGTTTTTGATCCCAACTTTCTTTCGTCGTGATGAGGTGGACATTTCCACCGGCAATCTCAAAAGTATGATCAGAATCATCCCCGTAGTTCTTTTCCTGCAATGCGTGTGATGTGAAAGAAGGAAGGTTTAGCATTGCTTGCAGGTGAAGATGAAATGTTGGGTACTGACCAAGATTCCATTTTTCAAAGAAAGAAAGCACCCAAATTGGACAGCAAATGCAACAATCCGAACTTGAGAGAGCCACCTGCATACCTTAGCTACGCAATTGCCCATTAATGGCTTATAGAAACTCAGTCTACACCTGACACCAACAAAAAAGAGACCTTTTACACACCCTTTTGGCCCGAACAATCTGCACCCAAATGGCCAAAAACAGAGCCTATAAGATAAAATCAACTGAAGTCCACAATCATCCAAATTAACACGCATCACAAAGCAATAATATCACAACCTAACATGATTGAGCCAAGCTCATGAATGGGTTATGAAATTCCTCGAGCTAAAACATTTATATTAGCATACCTTGTGACCTGTGTACAATTTCTTGTCAATTGAAACAGAAAAAGCTTAGGACGCTGAAAATGTGATAATATGCCAATAATGCGAGAGAGCTAGAGATTTGGGAAATCGGAGGTTTTATTGACGAATGTCGGAAAGCCAAGAAGAAGATTCGCAGCCAGCGCAGGAGGTTTGGAAAAATCGTGCGTGTAAAATATCGCATAACTTTTGACTAATCAACGCCCGGGTACATTTTAGCTTGGCAGAGTTTAGAGACTGCTTTGGGCTATTAACAAAAAATCACATGTCACATGGAAAATAGACTTAGTCTATAAAAAAATACTTCTCAATGCAATTAAAAGTGACATGGTCTAGCTTATGTGGCAATAAAAAAAAGAGACTAAGTCCACACTTGGGTCTATTTTGGACCCAAGTACAAACCCAAACACTCATCATTTGTTCTTAATTTAATTTTTTTAATGAATAAAACATATTAGAACATTTCTATTGGTTGGCATGTATGCTAGACCTAATCTCTTTATTTTTGCATTGCAAAGTTTTTGAGTTTTTTTACTTGGGTTTGTCCATGTCATTTAAAACTCAAGTCCAATTATATGCCACATATATAAAAAGAGACCCAAAGCATTGTGGATGCTCTTAGGGTGATTAAGCTTGAGCTCGAGCTTAAATAAACAAATCAAAAATTGAGCTCAGCTCGATTTGTTTATCACTATTAACGAGTCGAATTCGAACTTTAATGGGCCGAATTATAGAAAATTATATAAAAATTTACTTTTGAGCATTAACGAGTCTTATCGAGCAGAATCGAGTCGAGCTTGGTTTGTTAGCCAAATGAGCTCGAACTCGACTCGTTAAAGCCTCGAGTTCGAGCAAAACTCGAGCTTTAACGAGCTGAGTCAAGCTCGTTTAATTTAACAGCACTAATTTTAGCGTATCCAAGTAACACAATTAGATCCACACACACATGTGCTTTGCTTTTCAATTTTCACTAATGCTTAAATACTATCATTCTTTCTATGTGTCCAAGTAACACCATTAGATCCACACACACATGTGCTTTGCTTTTCAATTTTCACTAATGCTTAAGGACTATCATTCTTTTTATGTGTCGATAATGTCTATCAACGAAGTTCACCGCTAGGCTTTTTATAAAAGGATTTGTCAAATTGTTTAGTAGCGTGCTCTATGTATTTACAAATGCTCGTTTTTTCTATAAGACTAAATCACTAAATCACAAACACATTAGTAGAGACGAGTTCGAATTCTGCATCAGTATACTTATTTTTTAAAAGAAAACTATATAATAAACAACAAACTCATTAGCAAAGACGAGAGTTCGATTTATGTACCAACTATGCAAAAGACGAGTAACTAAAAGTTACAGCACCTGGTATCACTTTGGACCCGACGAGATTATGCCAATCTCTAATCAGTAGAAGCAATATAGATTTTAAATATTCTGAAATATTAGGCATCCTCTCTCTTTTTCTTAAATAGTTTGGACTCCACGAGATTATGCTAGGAAAAATACGCTGTATCTGTAATAGTTGAAACTATGTGCGTGCGGTGTTTAGGTTTAGCACACATTGGTTTCAGTTTTTGTTTCTCAATCTTGAAAGTAAAAGTGAACACTTTTTATCATGAAAGCCAATCAATAAAAAGGACTGCTGACTATAATAGGTAAATCCAGGATCAGTTGACTTGAGAGAGGCTATTCCATGTTTGTTTATAAAAAAAATTTGTTTTTGTTTGGATTTTTTGATTTGGTTTACTTAATTTTAAAAAAGGTGGTATGGTTAGTTGTTAGTGGGTATATTAAAATAATATTAAAATTGATTTGATGTAAAAGTAGGATAGAGAGATTTGAAGTGATGGTTAGTTAAAATAATGTGAGTGAATGAATAGTGAATTAAAGTTGATTTGGTATGTATGAATGATTGATTGATATTATTTAATCATATTGATAATTTTAATGATAGTGGGATTGAGTAAAAGTTGAGTTAAAAAAAAGTGGTTTGAGTTAAAATGTTGGAAATTTTTTGAAAATTTTCATAAACAAACATGCTATCTTCCTCTCTTTTTATACAGCCTACTGATTCTTTTATGATTTTCTCTCATAACACCTAACTAGTGCGTGGCCCGTGCGATGCACGGGGAAACAATATTACAATTATATTATAAATTAAATATATAAATAATATTAATCATGATTTATCCATTATTTTTTAATTAAACCGGGTTAGACACAGTCCCATCGGATGGACCGAGAACCGGTTTATAACCAGTGTAGATGCTCGAATAAAATATTTGCTATCGAATCCGCCAACACCATACGATTTTCTCAATAAATTTCGTTACATTTAAAATTATTTTAAATAAAATTACATGTTTACATAAAATGGAGATTTATAAATTGTTTATCAATTAGTTTAAACATTTGAATTTATAAATTGTTTAGATTTTAGTAACACCTTTTATTTAAATTTATTACAGAAAGTATTATATAAATTAAAATCTGAACAAACCACAAATGATTTAATAAAATAACTTGATCGTTTCGATGACAGTCTGTTTCTGAAAACCTTATATTTACTGCATTAATAAAAATTATAATAAAATATTACTTTATTCACAAAAATATTAATAAAATGATATATAAATATATTTCATAAATTATTAAACATGTTGTCATAAAAATATTGTTAATATGATTATTTGAAGTTTGGACTACATCACATTCACGTAATACAGTATTTTAATACTAAAATTTATATTTAGGTTGAATAATCGATTTGGTCTAGTCAAACTGATATATAACTTAGTCACATGAGACCAACTAAGTTGTGCCAAATTTTTTGACTATTTTAAATATCACTTAAAAGCAATTCAATCAACTTGGGCAGTACCCTAATTCAATCACCCGATTGATCCAAAGAAATTTTCTTATTTTTTTAAATATATTTAATTTTATGAAATACAAATATTTTATGATTCATATAATAAATGTCTACACCAAATGATAGTATATTAATATTATAAATTATATATCTAAAGATGAATTTATTATTTTTACTTTATGCATATTAATAAAAAATGCCTCTCCTTTTAGCCGAGCATATGTTATAACCTCTCGCGTCGAACTCGACTTCAAGGAGAAGAAAGACCCAAAGATAAATTATTTTATTTATGCATATTAATAAAAAAAAATAACATAGAAATTTTTAAAAAATTAAGATCAATTGATTGATTATGCAATTTAAAGAATATTTTTAACGTATTTTTTAATATAAAGACTGAGATTTTAAAAATTTTGTTATATTTTGAATTGAGATTTCATAAATATAGAGACGAATATTTTAATGTTGTTCGTTGTTTCTAAGAAAAAATAAAAATAAAAACATGCTCACTTAATAGATCTTAGCCGGATTTTTCAAATAATAAAATAAACTAAAACACAAAATTTAATGTAACTTTTAATGTTGTATGGTTTTTTAGAGAAAAAAATAAGAAAAAGTAAAACTTAGTATTATTTATGGGCTGCATTAAATTCTAACCTATTTTTTTGCTACTATTGTAGTAAATAGTTATTCTTATTATATAGATATAGATGTAAATTATAAGACTTAAAAATGAATCTATCTCCTTTTAGAAATGTGTTATACATATCCCCGTAAGTAGAATATTATAATAGAATTTTAAAGTAGTATATGCAAAGATTTAAAAGAAGCAGATAAATCTAAAACATCCTCAAAATCCCCTACCAAAAAAACTGCATTATTGATAAGCATAAAATCATCTAATTAGTCTAGAGGAAAATCAAATCATATAAAAAAAAACACACCAAAAATTTAGGCTACTTTTGTGGGCTATATATTTGGCACCGGAACAAAACATATGAACTCAAGATTGAATCCTAAAAAATGAACTAAAATCCACAATTTAGGGAAACAATTAATGTTTGACCGATTTTTTTTTAAGAAAAATAAAGTAAAAAAATAAAAAAAATTACTATTAATAGATTGCAATTATTGTTGTCAACTTTTTATGGTTACTATTTTTAATAAATGGTATAATTCTTATTATATATACTAGTACGTAACCCCGTGCATCGCACGGGATGTAAAATTTGGAAGAATAATATAACTTCACGTGCATTAGGATCGAAATTGAAATCATTAAAATACATAGGAACATTGTTGAATCATAAAAAGTTCGGTAACAATCATATATTATTAAAAACCTCCTTGCACACAACATTATGAGTTTGATTATTTGGTAACTCCTCATTATTACAAACTAATATTTTCAAAAGAGACAAATCCTAAAAATCAAACTAATATTTTTGGTGAACAAACTAATATTTTAGGATTTCTAAAATTTGTCTCTTTTTTGTGAACAAACTAATATTAGGATTGGTTATATGAATAAGGCTACCTGTTTTTTGTGTTCTTCTCATTCATTTTCATTCAAACAATCCGATGACTTGTATAATGAAATTCGAATCTTAAGCCGAAATATTTAAAAAAAGAGTTTTTAAAAATTGAAAAGTCAAGACAATCAGTTCAGATTAATTAAAGGTCAAAGAATATCCGCTCCTTGAAATAAAGGCGTGTGCTATCATTGACCAAATATCCGGTTATTGATATAGAGTGGTTACCAAAAAAATAGAACGCGATAAGGACGCTTCATGGAAATATCAATGGGATAAAGTCATAACGGATCGTTATACATTTGAACGATAAAAGCTCAGATGGAATGATTTATGATAAGTATGTCGTAATTAATGAATTAATTAGATGTGTGAAAATGACATAATTAATGAGAAGTGTGAAAATGACATAATTAATGAAAAGTGTGAAAAAGGACAAAAACTTACCAGTTTTGGAAAATATTTAATGCAAATCCGACATTGACTATAATTTGACCTACTATTTTGGATAAATGTTAATTCTTATTATATAAGTATAGATATAGATTGATTCATTTTTTGAGGCCATGACAATACACTCCTCATCCTCGGGACTTTGAGGCCATGATAATAATACCCAAAGAAAAACGATACACATTTCGGATTAACAGATTTTTCACCTCATAAAAGGTGAAAAGTCGAAATTCTCCAACAGGGGCAAGCCACATAAGTTCATGCAGTACAGGAAAGCAAAAGCAATCAGAGCCTCATACCCTTTGTTTTTCAAAATATCACTATTAGTACAATTTGTTTTTTCAAAATATCACTATTATCCCATGGCATATTTCTGTGTCCAGCTGCGGGCAGTGGACTCATACTTGGCTTTGTCAGTCTTGTACATGTGGGCTATCTCAGGCACAAGCGGATCATCAGGATTTGGATCAGTCAGCAACGAACAAATTGAAAGTAATACCTGGTCAACAATATTACAGATACTACATCATGAAGATGTAATTCGTTCAAACCCAAGTGATAGCATTACAGTAACATTTATACAACCAGATTCAAATAAATAAATAAGTTGCTCTGGAGAACAAGGGAAGAACAATCACGGTAGAAGGAGATATCTTGAGAAATACAGCCATCCCAGCAAACATTTTTTATCTTTTACGTAAAAGGAAATATAGAAACCTTTGTACCTTTGAGATGGTGAGTGCAGGGCTCCACTGTTCTTTGAGAATATCAAGACATATGCTTCCATTACTATTAATATTAGGATGGAAAACCTTGGTCTTGAAAGCAACCTAAGGTTATACAATATAAGATTCTCAATATTGAAATAACAACCCGGAATTGTGTAAGTCGTAATCAGTCAATTAAAAAACAAGAATCGCCAGACATATGATCATCAAATTGGCTATATTTCAGAACCTTATTTATGCACAGAGATTCAAACAAGCCAAGATGGAGCCTGATGTAACATCAATTGATAACAATAAATTTGGTAGAACAGGCAAAACAGATTTTTTTTTTTTTTTTTTTTTTTAACGAGACTTTCTGTATGCATGTAAGCCGCTGGTATTATATTATTAAACACTATCAACAAGGACACATTAACTCGTAACAGAAAGTTACAGTTGCAAAAAGTTAAAACTATGTTACTGATATTCGTTCAAAATAAGCACGTCCAAAAAACTTCCAGGGCCACAATTAATAAAAAAAATTGTCTCAAAGAGCAATCAGCCAATGAATAATTACTAAGACGAATCTAAATGGATGAAGTTGACTAGAATGCTCCCTATGACCCCCAGCAATCCTTACTGATAGATCAACAACACAACATGTACAAACTAAGGGTTAGAAAAACTACCTTTGGGGGCTTGAATGGATAGTCGGGAGGAAAGTGGATTGTAATGAGGAATACACCTCCAGAGTAAGGACTGTCGCCCGGCCCCATGATGGTTGCTTGCCAGTGGAACATATCTTCAGCCACAGGTCCTGCAGCAAGTAAAGTCTATCCTTTATAAGATCACAAACAAAAAGCAAACCAACTTCAGTAAAAAAAAAATACACATCACATTGCCAATATTGATATATAGTGACTTTCAAACTAGCAGGCACAAGGAAGATAGATAAAAGACTTGACCTTTTCTATTCATATGC